ACCTTATAGAGATTTGGGTGATGATTTAAAACATATTATATGATCACATACATCAAGTTTTACAACATGATTGCATCCTGCTTCAAATGGTGTAGTGTCACGAGTTAAATCTTCCGCCCAAAACGGTATAAATTTCTCAATCCTCATGAATCGTTGTGTTAAACTGCCAACATCCCTAATTCCATAGTCGAATCCAACAGTAATTAAACGATCATACACATGCAGGGCATATTCAGATGGTATATACAGACAAAATCCMGGTTCACCAGTATGTGTAAAAGCCATCATCATAACATCAGAAGCGTAACCAATGTTTACAGTCTAAAAATTAAATTACAACAAATGAATTACTAACCGTAACTTTATTTTATTTTACATAACTGTTAACTTGCCTTATAGGTGAAAGGTTGTACATTAATGTCAACATCAGTTTGTGACAGTTCGGATATCAAAGCGCCTGCTTTAGGACCAATTATGTTAACAACAGTATACATCGAAGTTATGTCTGCTAGCTGAATTGATTCATCTTTAGGTAAATGGTCTTTAAGCCAATCTAAAACTCTGGTTTGTTGGCTTGTTGGTGATACCATTAAATAACTACAAGTAAATAGTTAAACAAAWAAATAAATCTTCAGTTAAAATATGAGTTTAAATAGTTAAATATTTCCTCAAAAACTTAGTAAGGTTCTTAATCAATTATTTTCATTTCTCACCAATTTTCCCGTTCACGCACTAATAAACAATCGTTTTCGTAACCACCTCTTTCATTCAACATTCCGGTGTGGACAATACCGCCAACAGGAATATTTACATCATTTGTACACAAAGATTGTAACCAATCAACAACTCCATTACATTGAGACTAGAAATTATGCATTAAAAGAAGACACATTAGACTTGAGTAAAAACTATTTTTAAGTACATACATATTAAATATGGTATGTTTACCTCGGCATCATCATTCATATCTTGTTTTCCCTTAATGTATATATATAAAAATAATTATTACATTATATAATACTGTTTGATCTAAGAACTAATTCAATAAGTAATGTTTACATGGAAAAAAATTTTAAAAATTGATGTCAAATATAAAATACCTGAATTTTCATTTTAGAAAATGAAGACATATCTATAATTCCAACGGTTTCTCTGCAAGCATGATATTCTTCCAACATAAAGTCAAAGAATTTTGGTTTATAAAATGTACCTGGTGGCATTTCTGGAGG